TGTGAAGGCATAGTCAGCGACCCGGCTTATGAGAATGGGTAACTGTAATTTAACGCCTATCAAAATACATAAAATGAAATTTAGCAACGCTATATAAAAATTTATTATTGTCGGGTCATCAACAAGAGAATAATAAAATACACGAAGAACAATAATATATCGAAATAAAGGAAGCCAACCAAGGAACCAGGGACAGACAACACGAGCCGTCCGCAAGTACATGCAAAAAAAAGTCAGAAAAGACTAATGGGCATAAAAGATAAAACAATACTAAAAAATCAATACTTTACGAAAAAGTGTAAAGTGAGAGAGGGTTTTCACCAACGCGGTAAAACCAGAAAGTACGTGGTTACTCGGTTTTGAGAGTAAAGTCCTTATTGCTCGGGCGAGGGTGCGACATAGGTCAAGAAGTATAATGTAGGATATCCAAACCGGGTGTCTCGCAACAGTAAAACGTACTAGATAGGTGAACCCTGGGAAAAGAGCAAGACCCCAGGCAAGGCAGCCAAGGCAATGCGGTAGCAACACTTAGTTTGCCACGAACATATTATAACTCTTTGTCATCGCTCTAGGTCATGAGCACGAGAAGGACGCCAGCTAGAATGTGACGTCGTAGAGCTACGCGAGGGCGAGAAGCAGCCATTACTTACCGCGTCACTCATCTACGACAACAGAGCGAGCGACCGGACTACAGTCGGTCGAACGATGCGAATGGAGAGCGACACGGTTGGCTACGCCCTCCCGGCCGGAGGCTAGTGCTGTAACAGTCGCACCGCGACGACTACCGGCTAAGTAACTCGATGTCCCTACAGCCGAGACGTCAGTAGGATATGCAGAATTCCGAACAACCGTATTGAGAAAGTAGCTGCTCTTTACACTGCTTCTAGGCATAACCTCTAGAAACGACGAGAGAGCTAAGCTAACGAGTATACGAGAGAGGCACACACTAGGACAAAACATACATGCAGCGAACACACAAGATATCCTCCGTCATGTCCAGGCACCGTCGCCCTCACGTCGGACGATTGATTATTTATGTGCCTTGGTCTTGAAGAGAATGGGCGAACTCCACACTCGAACGCCAGTTGAGATAGAGGTCTGAAATAGCTAATGCGTCAGCGCGGGTTGCAACGAGATCTCCGGTTAGCAGAAAGAATAGACGTCAACAATCTTGAAGAATAGCGGCGAGGCCAGCTATTGAAGCGATACGAAATAATGCCTAAAGCAGAAAAATATCCAAGTGGAAAGACGAGTCAATCACATCGATAAACTACCAACCTAGAATTGCAAGGCTGCAGTTGCTAATACGAGCCATGAAACTGACGAGATTTGAAATCAAAGTGAGGACAGTGGTCTGGCGAGTGATAGCATGTGAAATGCAACGCTAACTACAAACACGAGAGGCGTGGGTAAGCTGTTTTCGAAATATTCGACTTGAAAATACTTGCCAACCTTGAGTCCTCAGAAATCGGGAGCATTTCAAAACCACCGCGCGGGGGGGCTGCTAGTGGATCGCCGGAGCTGTTAGATTAACATTAACATGCTTATTGTAGTTCTAAGTGCACTGCCTTGCGGCCTGTAGCACCATCCTTGAAGGAGCATATGGTAAGGAGTGAGCAGAGAGGGTAGAGTTGTCGATTCTTGTTCTGTTTTCTGTGACTATCTTTCTCACCCTCTCAGACTTTCAGTTGCGCGCGCTACCAAAGAGACGCGCTACGATGGAAACCAAACAATGGTGTCGCTGTATTAAAGTCCGAGTGGAAACAGTCCTGAGTAAATCTGATTTTGTCAGAAATCGGGAGAAATGTGGGAGAAATATGACCCCGGGAGGAAACCGGGAGGGGGCAATGAAATCAGGAGTCTCCCGCGAAAATCGGGAGGGTTGGCAAGTATGAGTACCGCCGTTTGGCCACAACGAATATTTTCCTCAGAGTTCGGCGCATTTCCTGGGGGATTGGGCCAAACGGCTCAGTGTGTACGCTCTATACGATTATTTCCTGATAACAATGAAGCCATAGCCCCACCTCTCCCCACAGCGTGGGAGGCGGGGTCTCGTTCTTTCCTATGAGAGCTGCTCATTGGCGCAGGAAGACAAAATGGCCCAACTTTTGAGAGAGCGAAACGTCACAGGTTACCCGTCATGCCTGGCTGTCAGAGCAGAAGAACCCGTATGTGCTGTCACAGAGCATGCGCCCCTTAAGCCCCGCCCCCCGAGCTCCCGAGCTCCCACTCTCGGCTCAGTAGAGTGAATGGAGAGAGAAAATAAATCTAGATTCGGCTTTTAGTGCATTTTACAACTTTAAGGACCGAATGATTCTAATAAGGGCTATAAAATAGTTCATACTGGGTAGTTTATTTAGTTGTTTTGGGCCGGGTGACGTCACGGACTGATACGGAAATTGCAGTTAATGTAGCTGAATGCTAAACATTGTTGAATTTCAAACTCCCCCCTACAGTTTTTCAAGGACCGTTCCAAGTGATCCTGCTTTCATCACTAAATTGCAATGATTCACATTATCTCAGGGTAAAAGCACTAAGCAAAGTACGCCATTTAATACTATTGGAACACCCTTGAGAGAAGCCCTTGATGGTGAATTTAGAGTAGCTCTGACGAAACTCTGGCAGAATTGAAATGGAAACCATAGCTCAACTGAACGTGCGAGCATACGCTGGTTTACACACACTTAATACTACTAGTAATTCACCTTCAGGCTTCTGATGAGTGGCCTGTAAGCTACCTGTCTCTTCAACTGTTCTCAGTGCAGCCCTCAGAGGGTATGTCCGCCTGAATGCCACCTTATCTGCGAGCTCCTGTCTGGGGCTGACACTCTGGCTGACTGACGCTCCCATTAATCACGCCGGGCAGGGAGGACTGATGCAATTAGTCATCCCATTGATTCCGGTGGAAAAAAATAGCCTTTTGGAATGGGAGACGCTTTCGCTCACACAGCATTGATTTTAGTTCACCTCAATTTATTTTAATCACCTGCTAACTGGGACTCGGGGGTTTGGAAGGAGGCTATTCCCATCTGTTTTTTCTAAATTCCCCGGGATGGGTGCGTGTTTGTCTTTTGATTTAGATGATAGTATATTGTCTTTTATTCTCGGCTACAGAAGTCAACTCGACGACATCTACAAAGCCAGGGGAGGCACAAAAAGGCATAGGGAGACTTCAGAATGCAACGCCCGCCAAAATGCTAATGATGAACTTCAAAAGCAGCTGAGCCGAGCTCTGGTCTTTTCCCAAGCCGCGGCCCGGTTCTGCCATGTGGAGCTGAACAGTAACACACATGTTTGAACACAACACCTGTGGGCGGATAGACAAGGAGCGAGCGGAGAAAGGCTGTGGCTTTGCTGCTGGTACCTCACTAACAAGCGTAGCAGAGTCGATGTGTTGAACGGCCCGACGGGGCCAATCATCTATCTCGGCTCTGCAGCGCTCCCATCCCCTCCCAGCCTGAAGGATCAAACCCCCCCTACTTACTGTGTTTGATCTCCCTTTTTGACTCAGGTTAGATGGCTATTTTACAGAGCGGTGAGCAAAAGAGGCAAAAATTGATGAGCATGCTGCTCAGCTGACTCGGGCGGAAACACCCCGCTCCTAGATATGCACCAGAGGAAGTGATGGAGTAACTCCAGGATATACAGTCAGCTTACTTTTCTCGCAGTGCCTCCCCTCACGTCCCATGGGACACTCGCACTTGTAGCCTCCCTCCGGCAGCGCCTGGCACTGGGAGGATGGATGGCACCTGTTGGGCTCGCATGGATCATGGACGTCAGCACAAGTTGGACCTAGAAACACAGATATAAAAATCCCACATCAGAATACCACCAACGTTTTCTCTTTATTCTCTATACAAGGATTTCCTCTGTAATAGAGGTCATTTTCTAATAGGATTTGGAAATATTACACGTCCAGATTAAACAGTGGAGAGCCTTCCCACCATGCGGCCATGTTTCTGGGCCAACCCTATCTGTGGGAAAGGCACGGTAGCGTCTGTTGGATGATTGTTTTGCCCTCTGCCACAGCCCATCTGAATCCACCCGTCATTACTTTAGCAGTCAGAGCCTGTGGTGAGGGGAGCGCTTTAATGAAGCCCGTCCCCGCTGAGCTCACAGGGCTACCCTGCTTTTTTCCTCGGCTCCTTTTTCATATCTCTGCCTTCTATACCATCTCTTTGCTCTAATACTCGCTCGCCTCCCTCATACATCCCACTGTTCTGACATGTCCTCTGTTTCAACCGCTCTCCACCCATTTATTCTCTGGTTTTCAGAGATTTGTCCCTCCCCCTCGAGATCCGCAATCTTCCCTACTTAATACATTTACATGTTGGGAAAAATTACTTGAATCTATCCACAGGCAACGGTTCAATTCTCATTATCACCATTCATTTAACACCATGTTGCCAACACATCTTTGATCACAGCAATGCTTCTTCAAAGTGGGAGGGTTATCTGTACCAGGCTCCTTAATAACTACACAACATAAAAGCACCTCTGGAATAATAATACATTGGATTTGTATAACGCTTTTCCTAATGCTCAAAGACACTTTACATAAAATCAATGAATGAAAGACAATAATCATGTATTGTGATTTTTTAAAGATCCACATTTTCAATCCAAGGAAAACAGCTCCAAAAACTTTACTGTGAGCTGGTTTCCCCACAAAGCGTTCACCATGTTGAATAACATCCTTTACTATGGAGGGATTAAAGTTAACTCCAACAATTAATTTAGTTCTGGTGGGAAACTTTCTGCAGTAGGCTGCCGTACAACAGGCACGAGTCACGCTTGGCTAGGCGCTGATGGTGTTGGCTTTTAGCTATATTCTCTCAGAGTTGCTTGTTAGTTGGCATCTGCCGGAGGAAGGGATGTGGAAGAAGAGATAGGCCAATCACTAACCATTTGGTGGAGGTTTTCATGTTTTTCTGTACTACTTCAACACATAATCTCTCGTTTCTGTGTTGGACATACAGATTTGATGGTGTTGCTGTTTACAAATGACTTCAAGCGCTCCTGCTGGGGGCGTGAGTTTCACTGTCAAATTAGGCTGTCAAGCTTACTTAGGATTTGCGAGTAAGTCATGACCACAGTTAGTCCCAGAAAAGAAGGCAAAACACATTTTTAACGATGTGTTAAAAAGTCTGGATATTCCACATATGAAATGACATGTTTTCTATGTATTCCCTGCTCCTACACTGGAATAAACCACTTAAAATTGACTGGGAATCCCAGTATGACCATTAGGAACATCCTGATCTGCTTATCTCGGCATCTTACCCCAGAATCCTTTGCTGCACTTGCAGTGGAACATCTCTGCCTCCTTGACCTGGCATGCAGCTCCGTTCTTGCAGGGGTTGGGCTGGCAGGGGTTGTTTCCACATTCGCCCACGCCGCTGCCGTACAGACTGTCCCCCCCGCTCTCCTGCAGGTTCAGCACACGGTTGTTGACATCCAGCAGGCGGATGCAGCCCACCACACCGGTGGCCACCGCCGTCCGCTCCCTCACACTGAAGAAAAAAGGGAATCAATGTAAGGTAATGTCTTCTTTAGTTTTTTGTCGCAGTGGATATAATGAGCACAATTGTATTCACAAGTGATGCTAGTCTCCATAGTAGTCATTTCTCTATAGTGAGGCCTTTCTGGCTTTACCTAACTGTATGAAATTAGCTGCTGTGAACTGTAGGATAATCACTGCCTTGAGAATCTTTACAACCACAATCTAAAGGTAGGGAGCTTTCCTGGGAGGCAAGGCGTTCCGAGGTTTATTGACAATAAGGGGGTTTCTGTGCAGTTTCCAGAAGATTGGAGTACAGTTTTTACTGTAAGTTCAGTGACTGCCTGGAGCTGTGTTAAAACACTTGGTTCTGCTGCAGGAGGGTGTATGTTCTGTTTTGTCAATATACTCAGGAAATCCATAGGTCTCTAGTTTCATAGGTTATCAGTATCTCCACTCTAAGTCTAAAACGGAGCCTGCTAGAGCCTCCTAACACATTAATGTCAGGCAAAGGACTCCTGGGAGCATAGCCATGACAGTTTGTCCCTTGCCAATATATGGCTAAAATACGGAGCATTAATTTCCTATTTTCCGACAAGCTATCATGGCATCATAGGTTTAATTTCATAAGGAATTCTAATTTCCTATGATATCAGTATCTTCATACTCGCTTTAAAACTGAACCTGCTACAACATTTTAAAAACAGTAATGTCAGTCAAAGGACTCCTGTGAGTATTGACATGACAGTTTTTCCTTTGCCAACATTTTAAATATAGACGATCATTTTCCAATTTTTTCCAACAAGCAAGCATTACATCGGGTACAAATTTACGATGGTTTGAATGTCCCTATGATATCAGTACTGTATCTTGACTTTAGTTAAAAGACGAGGGTCTCTCCAGACCCTTGAAGAAAGTTAGCCAGGTATCCCACAGGTCTCACTTTATTTAGTTATTTAAGTCCTATTTACCTCTCAGGGCCTCCATACATCCAAAGCATTCTACTGTACATTTTTGTTAGGGGTCCGATGTTTTTTTGTGTGGTGTTTACCATGTCCCCCCCAATATAGTTTATCTTGCCATGACAGTAAGAAGTAACATAGTAAAAAAAGAAAAAAAAATAACTTAAAAAAAAACTTTCTTTCGACCCTGAATACAAGAATGTGCAACTATAGATGTTAGTTCTTACTCCTGCTTCATTTCCTCGAGCACTCCTCCGATGAACAGGTCGGTGTCCAGGTTGAGGCCATCTGTGCCGCGGGGGCTTTCGCCCTCGATGTGCGGCTCGTTGTCCACGCTGAGCATGGCGTTGCGGCGGTTGCGCGTCACCACCAGCTGATGCCAGCGGCCCTGATTGATTTGTACTTTGCTGACAACTGTTCCAGTTCCCGAACCTGTGTTAAACCTGAGAGCAGAGGGATATAAATCAGTCAATCAGTCACTTTATACCTCCGCCGCACTTTTTATTAGTTTACAGAATTGGATGGGGGTTATTTTCCACCCAACATGTTTATTCTATATCGAGCAGCGACTAATGAATAGAAGCAATCTGCTCATATTTTTCCAGAAGACAGAGAGAGATGAAAGAAAGAAGGTGCGGGACTTCTCATTTGGGATTCCAAAATATGTGACTCAAATGAAGCCTCTACTTACTTAAAAAAATATCTCCATTCCCTCTAGTTAATCAAACCTTTTATCTAATGAGGTGTTGTTGACAAAAAGGAGGCCATATCATGACAGAAAAGAGCCGCCGTGTACCTGCACCGACACGTGCTAGTATTAGCGCAACCACAGAGCAATTATCAGTCACAAATAATTAGTTCCCTCCCCACGTCTCGGATTTGCAGAGCTGTGGGTGGTAATCTCACAGCTGTATTTCTGGAACCGAGGCAGAGCTCCATTTGAAAGCACGAGTGACTAATGATCTCCTTTTAGTTTGCCATTGATTTTGCTCTGAATGGAGAAATCTAACCGGGCCAGGTTCAGGGGAGCTGTAAGGGCTTTAAGGGGTCAGGGTGAAACACAAGACCCGAAAGATAAGGGAAAAAGGATGGTGTTACAAGTAATAGGTGGCCAACAACCAAGGTTATTCATCAGATTTCTGCAAATAAATTGCCAAATGTAAGCTTTGCTCATTGGTTTATAACATGTCTTTTGGTAGCTTAATTCAACTTAAGAAGTTTACATTTGTGTGTGTTTACTGTAAATAAACGAAAATAAAATAATGAAAACGTTTGGGAATTTCATTTTTATAACACAAACAACCATAGTCCTAATAATCAAATTCAGATTCAAATCTGTATTTATTTACAGAACAAAGAGATTCTTATCCGGCTATACACTTAAAATGTTATCAGCCCATTGAATGGCCACTCTGCAGTTATAATCACTCCCATTTAGAATGGTGAGACTGGGGAGCTGTGTCGCAATGGGTAGATAAGCGTCTACCGATCAAAGGATTAGCGGTTTAAACCAAGATGTCGAAAAGTCTTCGGGCGAGATCCCATAGACATATCTATGGCATTAAAGTATATGTAAGTCACTTTTGATACAATTATCAGCGAAAATAACATATATAGATATATAAGATGTGGGGGAAACTTCTGAAGCAATTGGAGTCTGGACTCAGAGAGACACGAGGAGAGCTGGAGCTTTGATGGCAAACACTGACGGTTTATTTGGAGCTTCGGCCGGAGAATTCAAAAGACATGTCACGGGCCACAAGTTGGCCACACGGTAGAGATGCCACAATCCATTCTGAAGAACCCTCCTGTAGCTCGAGGTTTTAACTAGTTCAGAGTGTAATAATCAACATTCTTCAATAGATAGACTAAACAGCTGAGGACACTGTGGATCACATTTGTTGTCGCTTATGGCTCGGGGTCATCTACACCCCGAGAAGGATGTGTCCCAGGTGTGCCACAACAATAACTATCTCTAACCGAGAGTTGCCCGATCATAAACTGGTAACAACAACAACATGCTAGGGCAGCCCCTCCTTAAGGGAGATAACGGCTGCTCAAGGCTGGGCATCTGTGTCAGAGGGCGAAGGATGAAATGCAGGGGAAATGATTCCCGAACATAAGATATACACATTCTGATGAAATATCCCAATGTTGAAACCCTGTAACTATGTTGTATGATTAGGGCTGCAACAAACGACTAATTTGATAATCGATTAATCTATCGATTAATGAAACGATTAATCGACTATTCAGACTATTATGCCTTGCACAATTTCTCAAACGCTCTTATTTAGCCATCAACTTTTAGATTGTTTAAATAATGTGATAACAGAACTGTAATAAGAATAGGGGAAACTTTTACAAAATAAATAACTCAGTTACCTCTAATCATTAACCCATGTTTGTATAATTAATTTTGTTAACTCCGTGTGTCGCTGACGTGGAAACGTTACTCGTGGATGGGGCTACAGAGCTACTAGAAAGACAGTCGAACCCGGTGCATTCCTCCGTCTGAATGTGGTGCACTTTTGCTAAATGTTTAGACAAATTGCTTGTGTTACCGCCCTTACATGCTAAACTCTTATTGCATTATTGGCAACGAGCTTTGTCCACCTCAAGACGGGTAACATCTAACCACACCAACCCCGCAGTGTGTTGCATGCATGTAGCAGGCGCGCGTGTGTAAACTGCCCCGCCCCCTCGCACACAGACGGGGGAGAGAGAGATCTCGTCTGGATTGGAAAGATCGAAAATACATCATAGACGCATTTCTTTGTCTTTTTGCATATTAGAAACGAGTTGGCGACGCTAAAACTGCGATCTAATGTTTATGTAGCTATAATACATATGACACTTTTTTGAATGTCTCCAGTACCGATAAAAAGGCCGATAACGTTGGAGCTTAACGGTGCGTAAAACACACGTGATGACGTCACCAACTAATCGACGACTGAATTAGCTGGCAACTAATTTGGTCATCGATTTTAATCGATTCAGTCGATTAGTTGTTGCACCCCTATGTATGATGTCATTTTTGTTTTTCTGTTGTTTTCTGTTTTTCTGTCTTCATGTGGAACCTAATTGCTGCAGGTCTCCCTTGAAAAAGAGATAGATGATCTCAATGGGATTCACCTGGTTAAATAAAGGTTTAAAATGAAAATGTTGCAAAAGTTAAACAACTGTAGCTTTACCAAAAGGTTTTGATATATTTATTGAGTGGTGTTTTCACACAGTACCTGACTTGCTCTATGCTCCTGTCATTAACTACTTCAGCAGTTAGAAGCTGGTATCGTCATGTAATTATATTCGGGATCAAACATATATACAGATGAAAAGGCCCTTTTGAATCTTATAGTAGGTGGAGCACGCCCTTCTAACCAACCATGTTCATGCTGATAACCACTAATAACGCCCATCCAATGAGCTGATAGCATATAAAGCAAGAGAACTGGCACAGTGTTAATATATTTGCATACTACATGTTACTATCCAACATGATTAGTCTAATGCCTCCATGAGCCATATCGAGGTGCATTTAATAAGTCATTGCTTCCATCTGTAAATGCAATATATGTGATTACAAATTACATATGAAATGCACACATATGTTCCCGCCATCTGTAAACGTGATCATGCAAAGAGCTTCATTTGCAAGCTTTGAACACATTTCTGAAAAACATGCCTTGGTAGCCTTAGCCTGCAAAATCTGTCCAGAAGCTTCTGTGTCTTTTTATTACATTTTCTGGCAGCGGTATTCTCAACATGTTTACTTGCTGTAATTATTTGCCTCATTATCTTCAGTGCTCTCCATTGGCTTTATTGTTATCTACATCCTCTCTCAGCTGAAATGACCCTGTTTTCCCCTGCGGGGGGACCATAGAGGTTTCATCAGATTGAATCAGAAGGAAAGCGGCAGAATCAACAGATGATGAAGGTCGTTGACCCTGAAAACTCTGACGAGGCTCACCTGAGTTCCACCTTGCCGTTCACCAGAGCCAGAGAGATGAAGTCCTTCTTGCCGTCCTGGCCGTTGTAGAGCAGGATCCCGGTCATCTCGGATACCCGGAACTCCATGGCTATGCGGACCGTGTGATAGGCGCTCATGGTTTGGAACGCCAAGTACGATTGGCCTCCGAATGACGGAATGAAGTACTTGATCACTGTGGAGGAAAAGCAATCCTGTTATTATTTCATGATACACTTTATCGTTTATACTTAAGTGTTAGCGGAGGTGGAGGCATCTGGAGGAAAGAGAATAAGCTGTCAGTTTATTTTAGGAACGCTATTTGGAAGAAGGAGTTCACCAGAAGGAGAAGGTAGAAAGAGAGGAGGAGCTGAGCTCTTCACCCCCCCTCAAGCCACATTTAAGCACTCTTGCCTCCAGGGGAATCCTTTGTTTTTCTTCCACTCGACAATTACGATTATTATCATCCACTTTCTCTCTCGGGTTGTTTTTTTTCTCCGTCCATCTGTCTTTCTGTGGAGAATGGCAGCTGATGAGCACCGTCTTTTCTAATGACTGCATTGATCTGGGGGAGGCCAGCATGCGGTCTAAGTGTGTGCGTGTGTGTGAGACTTCATTTAGCACTCTAACTCAAAGACACACATGGATTCCCACCAGCTAATCCCCATCAAAGCAATTACTGTGAATTATCTTAAGATGCAGCAGCGTGAGGTTCCTTCTCAGCCCCCCGCAAATCCCAAAGTAGGGTAAGAGGGGAAGAAACAAAAGAGTTTCTCAAGAAGTTCTCCTTGATTAATGATTTTCTCTGCGGTGCTGATTGGATTCAGTGTGTTGGCTTTAGTGAACACCTCAGCGGTCGCTCACTTCTGAGGTGTTTGAAGAGCAGCCGGATAGGAGAGATATTGCGTCAGTCACACCTCAATAGCTTTGTTCTCAAGTTTTTTTATAATATATAGAGTAAAATTGACACTCTCTGCTGATTGCTGCTGTCTTATTGAGCTTTATATGACCCAATAAATTCACATCTGTGACCACAGAACTTTGCATTTACATATTCAGGCACTAACTGAAGGTTGTTCCGCACTTTAGGCACCCGCTTTGTGAAGCTACAATAAGACTAGATACCCCTTAACGTGAGCAATATATGTCTTTTTCTCCTTTACGATAAAAGTTTCATTAAAGAAACCTTTTATATTAGAATTTTTTAGCATAATGGTTCTTTTCCACTACTTTCTAAATATATTAAAGCACTTGAGGAAGTGGTTAGCAGCGGTTATAGACCAGCTAAAGGCATGATTGGCACAAAGTGGAGTGCCTAAAAACCTCTCAGTTGCTGCGAAATCAGCCTTTGGTGCTTCTTTGTAATTGCTAATTGCTATCGTGCTAAATTATAAGGGAAGTCTGTTCCAGCTCATTTTTTCAGAGGATTTAAAAATACGGGGGAGACTTTGAAACTTTTAGCAAATATAGTGGTACTTAAGTACAATTGTGAGAGACATGAACTGTACTTGATGATTTAAATGTGCTGCTGCTTTGTTCTACCCCACTACAATTCAGAGGTCAATAGTGTACTTTCACTCCACTCCATTTATTTAATACCTTTAGTTACTTAATAATGTGAATTATAATCAACACAAATCAGACTTTAGTTACACATGGAGTAAATTCACAAGCTACCTTGCAGTTTATTCATTCAAACTAGCTGCACCTTTTTACCAGCTTTGAGAACACTTTAATCCATCAATCGTTATAATCAAAACATTCAATATATATTATTCTGAAATGGGCACATTTGCATAATGAGTACTTATGGTACTTAAAGTATGTTTGATGCTCGTACTTTTCCTTGAGTAACATTGTATTGCAGGACTTTTACTTGTAACAAAGTATTCCAACACAGTGGTGTTTACCTAAGTACAAGATCTGAGTACTACTACCACCTCTGCTAATGTGTAAAGAAAATAAAAGCGCTGACTCACCCTTCTCGCACACGGAGCCTCCTCGCCCGGCGGGACACTTGCAGCTGAAGTCGTTGCCCTCGTTCTCGCAGGTGCCCCCGTGCAGGCAGGGGTGGGAGCTGCAGGGCTTCTTGTGGTGCAGCCTGCCTCGGACATGGGCTACTGTGGTGGCTGGAGGTGGAGCAGTGGTAGTGGGGGCCTCTGTGGTGGTGGTGGGTCGCGGTGTGGTTACAGGCGCTGACGTTGTGGTGGTGCGTCTGCCATAGGGCCTGCGTGTGGTGATTGGGGGGCGGCGGGTGATGTACGGGGAGGTGGGGGGAGGCATGGTGGTGGTGCTGGGAGCGGCTGTGGTGACTGAGGCCGTGGTGGTGGTGGTGGTGGTGGTGGTGGTGAAGAAGGGGACGGAGGAGATGCCTGTCAGCAGAGAACAATGGAAATTAGCAAAGGAAAAAATGCACGTAGAGAATTCCTTGTTCAAGACCCGTAAAACACCTTTGATAAATCACCTCATGAATAACTTAAAACCCCTTTTCATTTTATTAATCCCCACACACTGTATCGTGTATTACCATAATTGGTGAAGCGGATATTCTCGTCCTCTGGCTTCTTCACAGCGATGCTGGTGTCTTTGGAGGCCTTCAGCTGTTTGAGCAGGGCTCCTTCGATGTCTTCCACCGTGAACCTGGTATCTATCATAAACCAAGAGGTACAGACACTCAGGACACGTCCTCGGAGGAGCACTTTGAAGCAAATACAGGACTCGGGCTTCTTTAGGGGGAACAATGGATATATCAGAAGGCCCCGTGTATGACAGCTGGAGGGTCTCCGGGGGCCACTTGTCCTCCACCTGCCGCTTGTCCGGCTTTTTTCCAGATGAATCGCTCTCATAACTGCAGATGTTCGCTTTACAGGCCATGGAGGAGAGCCGCTTAACACTGCACCGTATGAAGGGTGTGAAGGACACTAAACTGCACTCTCAAAATGGGGGGAGGGTGGAGTTTGTAAGGTACAAAGGAGCTTAAAGGCCCAGTTGTGGCGTCAACCGTATAATTAAGAATTGAATTCACATATGTATGAGTCTTAATAATGGCAATTCAGCACTTTGTTACAGAAGGAATTTCTCCTTATTAAAAATATATGCCTATGATTTCAGAATTAGTGATGTAAACAAACTTTAACGGAGAAAATCTTGAGTTGTCTAGTGTTTGTCACTGTATTAGGACACCTGTCAATCAATTGGAAAGTATTCCTTTTCCATTTTTGACAAATGGTGATGCTGACCAAGCCTTCAATTTCACCTTTTTGGGAACTTTTCCTGGCTCTCTATGAATAACAATGTGAACATCTAAGTAGAAACCTTGTTATGATTCTGTTTTGGTATTGAGAAAAACATTAAAAAAATGTATTAATAAGGACAAACACAGTTTAATATTATGAGTCAAATAAAGAATAAGTAGAAAGCATTTAGAGAGTGCACAGCTCTGCCAAGGATACACATTCCTCTCCATTTGTTATTTTAACAATAGAGAAGTCCTTAACCTGTATGCACGCCAGGTAAAGTGTACAGGACAAGGTTCATTTTGAGTCATGGTGATACAAATGTGTTTTGTTACTGTACTGAAGTGGCCAAATGCAGTTACATTTCAACAATGGAGGAACAGGTTACTGGAATACTATTCAAAAATGTTATGAACCTTATTCAGTGGACGAGGAATAAAATGTGTCAGAGGAGTAATAACAAGTGACTAATAGAGTGTAGGAACCCAGGGGAGAACATAGCTTTACAGTCCAAGAGTTACAAGTGGAAATATAAAGTGCTTCAAAAAGTGATATGGTGGCTTACTCTGCATACAAAAGTAATTAGGTCTTCTTTAGCCAGTGGCCTAACTTTTATCCCAATTTCATTTAAATTAAGTCAGTCTTTTTTTTTTGTAATGATATCTTGCTCGCTAAAAGACAAAGGGGAACAAACCATAACGGAGTCCAACTTTATTTTCTCTCTATTGGCTACTGTACTTATTCTTTGTTAGTTTTTTTCAGAATCTTCTGCCATCTCTCACCTGGTTTGAAGTGGGCCTCCACAAAGGCCAAGATGGAGTTGCTTGGAGCCAAATTCCTGACACGAACACTCATGAAGTCTTTGTGCACCTCCGACTTCCTGAATAACTCATTGAGCTGAGAGAAGAGAAAGAGTAAAACAGGGAGAGGAGAGAAGAGACAGTTAGAAGAGATGATAAATGAGGCCGGTAATGAGCTCTACGCTATCATAGCAGCGAGTCCAATTCCAGAAGACTGTACTCTCCAAACAGGAAAGACTGCTCTCAAATTGGGGTGCGGGTGCACAAATTGACATTTAGCTGGAGCCGTGGCATTAATTATAGAGACAAGTTTCCGGGAGGAGCTAAGATAAATGTCGTGCAACCCTGACATGTGCTCCTGATTGGATTTGCTTCTGAAGCCCCCCCCCCCCCGTGTGTGCAAGCTTTATCAACCAGAGGAGCTCCATGAGGGCTTTTGGAGATATTACAGACTAAAGTTGACTGTAGCCCAAACAATCTGGGCCAATATTTCAGCTTTAAATTGGACCATTTCATGCTAAAACTTCAAAAATGTCACATCCAGTCAGTGTCTTCCTTTAATTGTGTTCTTGTTTGTGTTCTGGTGGATTAGTTAATTACATTCTCAACAAGTAACAAGAGGAAATTCTTCTGCCTCGTACTTATTTCAGCAGCTGGTTAAAATCTCAGGAGCTACAGGGCCTGCTGTTACTTATCTATTGTTCTATTCTACAGTAACCTAATCTAAGCATCACAATGTAAAAGTAATGTCACCTGACTACTTTCCGTGACTTTTTAGATTACCTTAATATCAACTTCAAATATATACGAGAGAAAAGAAAATATCAATAAGATGGATTTGACTTAAGTGTGTTATGTAACAATGGAATTATGAAGCCAATGCATTAGCTTAATCGAAACCAGCAGTTCTAATATTTGCTTCAGCAAGGAAATGACTGTGTGTAACTTCATCTTTGAATATGCATACAGGATGTAAAATATTTTAAAATGGCACAGTGACAGAGTCAGGGTAAGATCGGACACAAAATGATGCCTAATTTTCACCCACTGTTGGAACAAGAGGCCACAAGGATTAGCTAATTGCATTAGCTAGGTTTCAATGGAGACTCATGAAGTGTTGTATGCTTCATTCTATAAAACGGACAAGTCAAATCAAGCAATCTGATTGGTTCTTAGCCGTGATATACTGAGCGTATACCACGGGTAGAATTGTAAATTACTTTTCACAACAAGTCAGTATCCCTCCGCGTCTGAGAAAAACAGTATACCGTTGGGCTGAAAAGCGCTTTTCATACTGGAACAAGAAAGCAGCGGAGAAGTAACGGGGCAGAAGCCCTCCTTTTTGACGCGGCAGCGGTCCAGACATAGACATCAAACGGCAAAATATATTCAGTGTGCAGTTCCTTTGGCATTAGGGCAGGGATATCTAGATACTTTTGAAGGTTTAACATAATGAATTGTGCTACTTTTAAAGCAAGCAACGATGTTTTCAAATCTGTAATCAAAGAGGGCCGCAAAAACGCTATCGACCAATCAGATTGCTTGATTTGACTTGTCAGTTTTATAAATATATTTTAATTTCTTCCGTTACGAAACAAACTCCAAAGCATAAAATGGAAACATTTAAGATTAACTTCGACCTCCGGGGGGGTCTTACTATAGTATGGAGGAGTGGATTGAGCAGTGCCTATCTCCAGAAAAAAAAGCACCTAAACTACGACATGCAGAGCTACGTGACATGCAGGTAGACCAACTGGAAAAGTACCACCATTCAAAAGCTTTCTGATGCGGGTCTTGAAACAAAGCAGAGAAATTATGACCGTTAGTGGCCATAGGCTGCGAAAGCTTTCTCCAGAGCTACTGGAAGCCCAATCTCGGGGAAAGTCTCGAGAAAGTGGAGAAATATTCTCGCCACGCAAAGCAACAGCCTCGAACAACCTCGACCTATACAAGTGACCACGTAAGCCATGCTACTGATGCTGGACAGTTTTTCAGTGGGTGCACAATAAACAGCAACATACACATTAATGTAAATAAATAGCCAAATAATCGATCAACGCTCTCTGTCTAATATGTTCGCTAGCTGTTAGTGTTGTTGCATAGCAACCACCTCGCACTATGTTTTGTGCAGAAGGCAACGGAGGGACTATTTTATTTTGAACATCATTATTTACTAATAAAAACTATTTAAATTAGAGTGTATTTTTCTTTCATATTGCCACACTTGGTAACCGATTTATAAAAGCAATAGCTCACTTCAGGCCGTGGTATATGCTCATTATATCACAGCTAAGGGGCGTGGTCTGGCCCGACGCGAAGCGGAGCATATACCACGGCCTGTCGTGAGCTATTGCTTAAATATATCGCTCAAGATATCATGACATTTTCAGACTGGCCAGATTAGCGCCACTACCAAAAAGCTGCCTTTCCTTCAATTCAGTTGGCTTAAATGCTCAGATTACTCCTTCAGACACTGAACCTCTATTATGTGTGGGTAGATGTGTGCAATCCTCTGAAGGGATGGAAAGGATGGACCAACATTGACCTATAAAACCTCCCGATCTTCTTTTCTCCCCTTCTCTTTCGCTCACACATCACCAGCTGGAATCTTTTAGTGTGCTGTATATCTGCGTGTGCTCCAGTGTTAGAAGATGAAGAGGCGGGTGGTTGCTATCAAGTGGCGCACCAGACTTCAGAAAGACACAGGCTTGGAGTGTAACGAGCGCAGACACGCACACAAATGGCTGTGAGGTAGTAGATTAGGTCCCAGTGGGGGCCAGTGACACCGTTTCAACAGCTGCTGGATGTGTATAGTGTACACACACACACACACACATTCCCATTTCAGCGGCGGAGCGAGGCTCTGGCTTGACAACAGAGACATTTGTTCAAAGGTCTGAGAAAAAGACACGGACAGTAGAGATATGTGCGCCAGGGCCAAACTGCGATTATGGTACAAGCTTCTGCTTGACAGAAAATGGCATCTTGACCATCCAAACGTATCTCACTCATATCCAGAGTAAGGATTTATCTTAATTAATCCCACATGAGACCCTTCCTGCTTCTGTGAAGTGTTTTGCAAGCTATTCACAAATGAGTCTTTGAGTTTGCACACGTCTGTTTTTCCCAGTTTTTTTTATAGTTACACTTATTACATTTGAAGAGTTTCTGGAAGGCTCATTTAGTGCCTGTGCTAACGCATCCCTTGAGGCTTTAATGCTGTACTTGAAATTAAAAGCAGAACGCTAATTCTGTATATATTCTTAATTATTCAGAAGTGTGTGTGAGAAATTTATATTTTTTTGTTTATGAAAAATAATGATTGAACCACCATGATTTGGTGTATTAATAATAATAATAATAATAATAATACGTACATGGTAAAATGAAAAGGTCTTAAAGCAAATTCATCCATGAGCTATTGAAACTGAACTATATTCCCAACAGTACTTACTGCACTCTCTATGCTGCGGGCTGTCTCTCCAAACAGCTCCGACTTGGGGTCCTCCATCTCAGGGGTGTAGAATATCTCCTGGCCCTCCACCTGGTCCAAGTGCAGGAAGCCGCTGAACCTCATGGTGGCTGGAAGGAGAAATGGCAAGAAATCAGATGAAAATCGCTAGCTCACCTTCTCTTATCACTTATCACTCCTACCCCGCTGCCTTCACACCGTGCTCGTTGTTGGGGTCGTGCCGGTTTCCGGGTTAGTGATGGATCGTGTGATTGTGTGTGTTTGACAAGAGGAGGTTAGTGAGTTTGTTGCTGATTGCGTGGGGGTTCAGAGTTTTAGGGCGTAGGGGTGGTGGTGGTGGAAGAGGTGGACTGTGAGGTATGAAAGAAGGAAGGAAAGAATAAAGAAACTAGGGCAAAGGGAAGAAAAATGGGCCAGTTTTACCAGACGGAGACTCATCCCAAAAGCTGGCCGACGCATGGCGGGCTGGGTAGGGAGACAACAAGTTAGACAGACACACAAATACATGAAGGAAGAAACAAAACACACACTCTAAAGAGGAAAAACAGCCCACAGGCACTCTCAAAAGTGCTTTCTTCAGCAAAGAGAGAGCCTCCCTGTGCGACCTTGGGGGGTTATGTTGTCCAACATTCATCAACTCTCAATATGTTTTTTTCTCATACTGCTGCCAGAGGAGAAAAGCTGAAAGCAGAGGGGATCTGTGCATTAGTGTGAGGTGAAGAAAGGAGGAGCATGTGAGGCGCTGATGTCATGCTTCCACGGCACTCTTAATCAGCAGGACAAATTGCCCAAATCAATCATGGCCGCTCCTGCTCGAGCGACGGCACGGAGAACGGGAAGAGCACTTGTATGATTATCGTGAGAGATAGCCGTAATTGTCTCCTTAATGTCGCCAGAATGGTGACTGACACAGGCCTGGTTAAAATTGCATGAAAAGGACAGCAAACACTGCGACACACACCCTCCGTCTCCACCCTCGACTTTACAGCACTTTCACGGGCAGCACACATCGATTCAGATGTGACGGGCGCCATAAAATAAAAGCAAATGGGCAAGGTTTGGCCGATAAGAAAGAAAGAAAGAAAGAAAGAAGAATGGCGAGAGAAATCTGACTTTTAATCTGCAAAGAAGACAAACATCAGAGAGGGTGATTTTCCGGCCCACTGTCTTGACGAACATAACGAGGGGAAGAAAGAGAGTGATACAAAGGGACGGAGCTGTTTCACTATCAGATCCTAGTGAACTGTAAAATGTAATGGATTTGTCAGACTTTCCTGGCATATGGAAGAGCTTACAGTAGCGGGAGCTTAGTGTGCCATTAACATCCATATGAGCATGCCGTTCATTATCTCTGATGTTGTATTAACGGTGCCGCCTTGTTTGAAAGTTACAGATGGAGCGTCCTGCATTAAACACATTAAGCAAAGGAACCAAAACAAAAATTTCGCCCAATAATTCTCAGAGGAAGATGTCTTCTCCAGAGAAATAGATTTTAAAAAATCCCCATGGTTAAACTATATGGCAAGTAAATGCTAAAATACACTCTCTAATTGAAGAACGGCCATGGTCTTACCTCTACTCAAAACTCTAAAAACTGAATATAAAAACGATTTCATAGATATCTAAGAGAGTGGACTAAAGTCAACCTTGAGCCACTTCACCCTCTGACGTCTCAATAAATGTGAAGATTAGAACAGCAGAAAATGAGTCCTTTTCATTTTGAGACAGCCGTGCATGCATCAATATATTGGAAGGTACAATGAGACGGATATTCTCGCATGAGGGACGTGTCATTTCACTGCTAATGAGCGGACGATCGGCTGAGCCCTCCTCTAGAGAGAAAGAAGGATCCGGCGTATCGATTAGAAAATCCTGCTGCCTACTTGTATTGGCAACACTTGAGCTGAATGAAGTATTGATTGCCGCCGCGCCGTCATCTTTGGCTGAGAGAAATATTTACAGGCCTTAGCGGATTTGTTACTTGTTCTACAGCTTAAACCTATCAAATGCTATCGTATGGATTTTGGGCCAAAATGTCATCAAATCCTATCTCGACAGATCACATGTTTCACGTCTGTTTGTCGTCTTTCTGTGTACAAAAGTCAAAGGTGGCCTTATATCTGCGGTTCATGTTATAGCCAATGAACTCTGCTGTTTTATTAGAAGGCCATGGGACTTTCAGCACGCCAGAAATTCAACTCATTTGTGGCCCCGGCTCTTTAAAGTCATGACCCGGAGCTCCCTTTAGAGCCAGAGAGAATCCCTTCTTTCACAATCAGTCAGAGTAACACCGCAGGGACAAATAGAGTGCAGATTTCTACTGAGGGGTGGAGGGAAGGAGAGATGGAGTAGCAAAGGGGGAGAAAGAAGCCCTTTATCTTTATGAAGTGAGTCTGGCAGAAGGCACTGATTGGTACAACAGTCGGCCCTCGGTAGTCTCCCGACACTCTCCTAACTCCACAGAGAAAAGAAGTGATGCAAGACTGGATTGAGATTGACTGAGCTGAGGGAGAGAAAAGAGTGAGATATAGCTCAAGAGGGAGATGCAGACTGATAGAGAAAATAATGTGTGTGAGGTGGGTGAATAAAGGACAGGTGGGAGATTAAAATAAATATAATAAGGGTGAAGGAAGATAGTAAAAGTATGAATAACAACACTGATGGTTATTTATTACCCAAGGCACATTGGCCCTAAAGTATGAAGTTGATTCAAACCAAACTTCATTGAAAATTCTGGAGATTTTCTTGAGAAAATAAACCTCATAGTGAATTAGGCCTGGCACGACTTATATCAGCATTGGACCGCCAAGTGTCATCAAATTCCCAACCATGGATTACTGAGGTAACACATCCACTGTTTGTGTATTTTTTTTAAATGTCCTGCCACCTGCCAATATGATCATTTACATATGAGGGTGGTGATTCATGAACGCATCGCTGCAGAAAAAACAAAATAGCACCTGTTCAACTGGTTGTTAAAGGCAGATGGCACACCATCACTATCACGAAGTAAACATTAAATATGAATAAAATATTGGGTTGATTCTCAATCCTTCAATAAATGAAGGCAGTAAATCAAAAAATAAGGAAGAAGAGATGAGTAAGAGACGTAGTTCTGTGCAGTGACAATACAGATAGTTTATCGAATCCTAGTTCTTAACATTGAATAATAAAGCAAAAAGTCAAAAGAAAAATTCTGGGATTCTATTCAATTTTCACGAAAAACTATTTTAACATTTTTAAACACATAGCCCACCCCCCCCACCAATTTATAGAAATTAATTTCCTAGAACACAACAATGCTCAGCCCTACGTATGAAGTGCAGAATGCTTGCCTTTAAGATAATGATAGCTTTTTTGTATTGCTTTTGCTTAATGTTAAGCTAGGCTACTCATATCCAGGCTCCAGCTACACAATTAAAGATCAGTGATGCAAACACAGGTATGGTGAAAAAAGAGAGAACTATTCGAAGCAGAAAAAAAACAACGTAATATACCATCTGACAAAGGCCTGTTCTATAATGCTTCAATTAACTGGCTATTCTTTATAATATACTCAGATCAATAGGAGACAGAGATGTTAAGTTATCAAGGGTTTTTATTATTATTTACAGCAGGGGTGGGGAACCTTTTTTCTTTCAATTTTTACAACATCCTCCGAGGGCCATACTAATTATTGAACTAAACCTCTGCTTAAAAAAACTAAAATCACACGGTGTGGCATGACCACCCAAACAGAAAGATATGGACACAAGATGTCTGCAAATGTATTTAGTATCCATGTGAACATGATTTAAGTGGGGGGGACCTAACCTCCTCTAGGGGGGTCCGGGGGCATGTTCCCCCGGGAAGATTTTTTTTTAAATATTGAAGTTAAAAGCATCAATCTGGTGCACTTTGAGAGCAACATGAGGAGATCTATGGGTACATCTTTCAACACCCATTTGAAACAGAACTGTAAGCAGATTTTTCTTTTTGGATATTTTACAAATCACTCCCCTTTTAAACTCTATTCTTGTTATTTTTAACACTTTTTTGTTACTGTCATATAGTATTTTATACCTGTTTTTCATTTAGTCTCTAATGTCTCATTAATAATTATAATGATCATATCAAGGTGTGCCTTAACCTCACTGAGCTGAGGTTATTTGAGCCTTCTCAAGAGAGAGCTCTCTTCCACCCTGTTGTAGAAAGGCTCTTTAAATTCGTTAGGCATAGCTAGCTAACCAGATGCTAATACAACAGATCGCCACTTGCATTACAACTAAAGACACAGCCCATCGCAAACACTGCGGCAATGTGTACGGCTCCTTATTGGGTACTGCAATATTTGAAAAGCTGGAGCGGCGTTCCGGTGGCTCTCCGTATTGCACTCTAAGTCTAGTTCTACACTACACTCCTTTCAGACGAGAGACATAACCACGTGAAGACACTTACGCTCGGTGTTGTGTCAAGGATACCTGGTCCTTGGCCAGGAAAAACAGGCACTCGCTTATGGGCTCCAGAATAGTCTCATAATACACACATGCACACAGAAGGAATTCACACTGTATTTCCGGATCCGATTCAATGCACACATAATGTGTTCCCATATACAATGTAAATAAAATCCAAACACAGAAAAAAGTTTTTACATATTATTTTGATCCACACATATTTGTTTCGCGTTTAAAACCTCTGAACCTGCAACAAAAACCGCTTTCTGTGCATGGATCGCTGTTGCATCTGTGTGTGGGTTTTTTTAGACTCCCTGACCTCACGCCGATTTCTGTATCTGTTAAGTTTATCATCTATAGCGTAATCAGTGTCTCCTCCAGGTCTAAGCAATCCACATGAGCGCGGCCCCCACGAGGGGGTATGGATTT